CCCTTCCAGCTCCCTAGCCAGATTTGCCGGCGGGGGATGCCCCAGTGTGTTGGGAAGAGATGTATTTTGGGCCAAAGCAAGGGGATACATCCCAGGGATGAAAAGAGTAAATCCCCGAGGTTGTTGGAACATCGGTATAAATTGTCCAAAGTTTTGGAGGGCCTGACTGGGCGTTGTTTGAGAAGTGAAGGTGGTGATCATGGGGGAGAAATGAGAAGGTAATGATGCGATTCCTTCCGATATTAGGGTAACGCCTTCGGCCCAGGTGGATATTTGGAAGACGGATTCTGTATTGCTGTTGGTCATGGCTTTTTGCAAAAGGGTCCCATGGGTGGTGCTAATTTGATGATGTAAAACCAACGTAAGAACTAAGTCACAAAAAGTGAAAGGGCTGTAGGTGGGAACACCTGTAACCCGGTTTGTTATTAATAATATTGAGACCGTTTACAAGCTACAAGCCGTGTGGATTATTTAAAGCATGCCCCACAAATGAGGCTTTTAGTCCTATTTATAATAATAAAGAAGCACATCAAGCACGTCTCTGTTCTTCCGGCCGGTCAGCACAGATGCCTCTGTCAGACGAAGCCATGTTTCTGATTCCGAATCTTCCAATACCTGACAAGTCAGACTACCCGGGCTGACCAAGTCATTGGGCGTCAGATTTAGGTACCTCCCGGTCGGTCATGAATGTTGGGAAAAATATTATAGATTTTGATGATGATGTATTTAGAATGTATTAGGGACTTTAAGCCTCCCCCAATATTCAATGTAATTTTTCTTTTTAGAAATATTGTCAAAACCGAGCTCTTGAGATTTCCAATAAAACTGTGATATCTCTTTAAGCGTTTTGATGCCTGAAGATTTAATCAAATTCAGTGATATGAAAATTGGATATCTTGATCGGAAGTATCAGAGACAAGTAAGGATTTCTCAACCAGATGAAAATTCTCAGATCCGGAAGACTACATAAGAACCGGATGTCTCGCTACAACCCGCTGAAGGCTAAGTCATCCAAATCGGAAGACTAGCGCGGATCTCTTTCTCATCCGGAAGTCTGAAAATGACTCATCCGGATTTGTCAGCTAAGAATCGGAAGACTCACTGAAGACCGGAATTCTCAGAAAGCGGACAAGTGAGAAAGGACTTAGAAATTTTATCTAAGTCCTGAATGAAAAAAATTCTAACCGTTGGCAAGGAAAAATCAATCTCTTGATTTTCAACGGCTAGATTGAAGATAATTATGCTGATTCAAGAACAAATTGCTCGAAGACAAAGTCTGGGCCTCTAAAATTAAAAAGCCTGCCCAGAATTCCTAAACAAGCACTAGAAGACAAACAGAGTAAAGTGCTACAGTCTTGAATTCTTGAACAAAAGCTAGAAGACGGATTTTGTGGAAAAAGGAATCCTTTCTCAACATTTGGGTACGTCCAAACACCCACGTCAACAGAGAATCTTCAAATCACAATCTTCATTCAAAATTGAAGCCAGCAAATGCAAC